CAGCCAGCTCCCTGCGTGTGGCCTGGGAAAGCCTTGGGACCCTACACCTGTGTGGGAGACCCAGAAGAAGTTCCTGGCTCCTGGCTCCGGATCGGCATAGCATCGGCCGTTGCGCTCACTTGGGGAGTGAATCATTGGGCGGAAGATCTTCCTCTCTGTCTCTCCTCCTCCTCTCTGAAAATCTGACTTTGTAATAAAAATAAATCTTTAAAAAAAAAAAAAAGCACACAGGAAAAGAAACCAGAGACAATATAGTGAACAGAATTTCAAAAAATACTATGATAAATATATCCATGATACATTTTGTCCAAGGAGATTTTGAAAAGACAGAATAAGTGCATAAAAATAATAATATAAGAATAAATGGAGGAAATCTAAGGAAGGAAGGAAAAGGAAAACAGGAAACAAGAACAGAAACATTTAAGGATATTTGTAAAAAAAAAAAAGTCTCCACAACCTTGCAATAAAGCATATCTTAAACTCTTACAGAAATAACTTCTAATCTAGAAGTCAAATGACAAGAGGAGCCAGTGTTGGCGTTAAACCTCTGCCTCCAAGCACTACTTCCTGTTCTGGCTGTTCTACTTTCGAGCCAGCTTCCTGCTAATGAGTTTAGGAAAGCAACAGAAGGCGAGGACTTTAGCCGCTAGGCCACGCCGCCGGGCCCATTCAAGATGTTCTCTTGACAGAGAAGAGGAATAGCACCTACCAAAACCAAAACCAAAGGCAAATGGGAAGAACATCCCAGTAAAATGACAATAGAAGACTAAATCAATGAACAACCCATTCCTAAAATGACAGGACCAAATTATCACCCATACATATTAACCCTGAATGTAAATAGCTTAAGCTCAATCAAACGTCACAGATTAGTAAACTGGATTAAAATAAAGTCCTCACCTTGAACGCGCCACGATCCCATATAGGCATCAGTTCTAATCCCAGCAGCCCCGCTTCCCATCCAGCTCCCTGTTTATGGCCTGGAAAAGCAGTGGAGGATGGCCCAAAGCCTTGGGACCCTGCACCCGTGTGGGAGACCTGGAAGAGGCTCCTGGCTCCTGGCTTCGGATCGGCATAGCATCAGCCTTTGCAGTCACTTTAGCATTGAATCATTGGACAAAGATCTTCCTCTCTGTCTCTCCTCCTCTCTGTATATCTGAGTTTGCAATAAAAATAAAATATTAAAGAACTACACAAATAAAACTGAGTAAGGGAGTGCAAAAAGAACAAACAGGAGAAGTAAAACCTATTTTCAAGAAAGAAACAGCATGAAATATTTTCACCTCCCGTACGCTTTCCTCAGGAAGCCACACCTGCTGTGGGGAAGCGTGAAGCGCTCCACCACTGACGGGAATAAACACAGCAAATGCCACCGCCCACCTCCGCAGGCCTTTGCTCCTCTGATGTTTAGAACAATCCTCTGAGCTGGGTAGGTTCATGATTCCCGCGTGACTGTGTACCGTCGCACGGAGCTGTCAGCCAGTCAGGCTTTGACCTCTGGGAAGGGACACAGAGCCCTACTGTCCACATCACCGAGGTAAGGTGCTGACCAAGGAATTAATCCAAAACACACAGAACGTGCGATGGGATAGGAGGCAGGGAGGCAGTGCAAGGGGCCTAAGGCGCACAAAGCAAGTGTAGAAAGGAGCGTGGCAGCTTGGGTGGCAGCCCGGTGTCTCATCCCCACAGAATCCTGCCTGGACTGCAGGAACCTGATGGTTCCAGGTGGTCCCAGCTACCCCCAAGCAGAGTCCTCTCTGTCCGGCACCAAGCAGGTTTCAGGCCAACAGCATTGGAGCATAATACCTTGGGAGGAATGTCATCTGCTTCACACCCACGAAACCAGTTTCTCAGATCCCTGCGTGCCGGCCCTGGCTGGTGTGTTCCGGCCCTGGCTGGTGTGTTCCAGCCCTGGCTGGTGTGTTCTGGTCTCTGCAGCAGTCCACTCTGCAGCCTGCACCCCTCTCACTACACTCTGCTACCTGTCAACCACTACCCTCATGTCTGCAAGTCAAGAGCCCTCAGCCACTTCCACTAACAAGGAAATTTCCACAGAAAGATGGAAGGGAAGCCCCTAATCACATCCAACCCAGTGGCTCCCTCCACTACCAAAACACCGTGTGTATCCAAAAACATCTGGAAAAGATTTCCCAGCTGTCTGTCAGTTTGGATGAACGAGTGATCAGCTCTGAGAAAACTAAACAAAATCTAAATAAATCAATGATCAACTTCAAGGAAAACAAAACACTGCATAAGCAAGAGAACAAAATCAGTCTGCATAGGGTCGCTCAGCTGTGCATAGAGAGCTGTAACAAAGCACAGGGTCACTGAGCCAAGCAGAGACAGAGGCGCAGGACGGACAAGCACGCGCCGAAATCTGGAATCACAGAGGTAAAGAGGGCAAATAGGCCGTAGCAGCATTTACTGAGGAACGCCGGCAAACGCGCACATTCTGTAAAGCTGCCGTCCCTCTGCCTCCACCTGGGGTTTCCAACATTCCAAATCACATGTTCATGTCTTAATACATGACGGGCACCTGTTGTGCCTCGAGTTCTGTGGCTTTTGACAAACGCATGAGGTCAGTAATTTTGAGCCCTCTCGTAATGCAAGCATTTCAGCTGTTATTCGTGCATAGCTATGTTCCAATAAAACTTTATGAAGGCTACAATTTGTATTCATGTAAATCTCATGTCGTGAAATATTTGACTTCTTCCCAGCCATTTATGAACGTACAAATAAATCACTTTTAGCTCACAGACCATACAAAAACAGGTGCTGGGCTGGATTGTGGCCCGCGAGCTGTACTGTGCCAACTCCTAGCCTAACGCAAAGAGGCTGGTGGGGAACTGTCCAGACGCCACAGATGGCAGAGTTCTGTCAGTGAGGCTCCAAATGGCCCACATGGCTTACAAAGGATCTAGCACATTAAGCTGCTGCGCCCAGAGAGGCGCCCAACAATAATGGCCCCCCAAAACTGTTTTTTGACTCCCATCTCTATTCTTTGTCACCTCACCTTTTTATTGAAAGATTTGCTTATTTATTTGAAAGGCAGAGTGACAGAGACACGCTCCAACCTCTGGTTTGCTCCCCAATGGCCCTAACAGCCAGGGCTGGCGTGGGCTGGAGCCTCATGCCGTCTCCCACTGCGGGTTCAGGGACTCGGATAATCCAGTCATCCTCCACTGCCTTCCCAAGCTAGAGACATGGATCGCAAGACAACACCCAGGGCATGAACTGGGCACAAACGGGATGCCAGCATCAAAGGGGGCACCTGACCACACATTCCCTTCGCCTCAATCTAGAACAGCTTTTAACAGGGCCGGGGAGAGGAGAGAGCACCGAGATGAGGAAGCCAAGTCAGTCGTCTCCTCCATTACAGCTTTCTGGACCAGAGTTTGATCCAAGATGGCAGCAGGAAGGAGCTAGGCCTTAAACAAAGAGATTTTACAGGAAAGGAGGCCAGGCTTTCTAACACTCGTGGCTAACTGGAAAGAATTAGCATTGCGCTGATTCACAGCGGGAGGAGTGGACAATGAACGAATAATATTTACAGGCAACGGTAAGGAAAACTGACCCGCCATATTCAAAGTGGTAAAAACTGTATGAGAGCAGGCAAACCCTAGACTCTATCCAGTTCATGTGAAGAACTCATAAGGCAGCAGATCCCGCGCCCAAGGAAAAGGAAAGAGAAAAATGAGCCAAGAATATGAACAGGCAATTCAGAAAAATAAAACGTATAAGGGGAGAGGCCAGACACAGTGGCAGAGGTGAAGCCAGGGCTCGCCACACCCAAATCCCACACAGGTCACTCCTCTCAGATCCAGGCTCCTGCTGCTGCAGCTGGGAGCCAACAGGTGAGGGCTCAATTTCCTGGACTTGTGCCTCCCACGTGAGAGCTCTGGATTGAGTCTCTGGATTGTGGTCAGCCTGGCGCAACCCTGCCATCTCTCTCTCCTGCTGCTGCTGCTGCTGCTGCCGCTTTGCCTTTCAAGCACAAACAAAACAGAAACCCATACACTAAATTGGGAAAACAAAGGTGAAACGTGCTCAACCCAACAACAGTACAACGTGCGGGTAACACCAGGTCTCCCTTGATCCACAGCACACCGGCCAAGTCCAGCGCTCGTTGCTAAGGACCTGGCGGAATGAATGAAGTCACAGAACAATGGCCCCCTCCAGAGGTGCGTGTACCACCAGCGCGGCCGTGAACTCTGATTTCCACCATCCCACAGCCGCCAAGACCGCGGCGCCGAGGTACAGCTCTGCAGACCCACAACCATCAACCGTGCGCAAAAGAGCGCAGGAAACTTTCTCCGGACAATCAGGTGGCGAGGCCACGCCCACCAGTCGGAGGACCTGGGACTCCAAGTCACTTCGGGTGACCGTTCCAGGAGGCTTAGGACGCGCGAAACGCCTCGCGGATTTCCCAGACTCCAGACGCCAGCGGAGGGGACGAGAGGGAAGGCGGCCGGGGGACCCGGGCCTGACGCCTTCGGCTGCAGGGGATACCGCGGCCGGTCAGACTAGTCCGGACTCGACTCGGGGCAGCCCGTGGGCAGCAGCCCGGGCCCCGAGCCGCCGCCGGCGGGAGGCCAAGGTCCCCGGGCAGCCCGCACAGGGCCGTTCCCGCCTTGTCCCCGTCCCGGTCCCCGTCGGGCAGAGACGGGCCGGGGGCCCTGAGGGGTGGACGCGAGGGCTGGCCCGCCGAGGCGCTGCCCTCGGACGACAGCTGTGAGGCGGGCGACGGGGAGGAGGGGCCGGGGCTCGGGCCCGCCCCGAAGCCGCCAGAGCAAAACAGAAACCTAAGCCGGAGACGACGGGACGCAGCCCGCCCCGGCCCGAGCCGCCCCGCCGACGGGAGCGAGATGGCGGTCCCCGTCCCCCCTGGCCGGCTCCGGCCGCCGCGCACGGCCCACCGCCTGCCGCCCTCCCTCCGCTCCGCCGGCCCGCCCGCCCGCCCTCCTGGGACACGGCCCGCTCCACCCCTTGCGGCTGCTCACCGCGCTGAGGCGGATCCCGCTGGGTGGCTGCGCCGCCATCTTGAGCCAGCTACAAAGCCGGGACCGGCCTCCGCTGCAGCGGGGCAACTGCGGGGTCGCCGTGGACACGCCCACTTCCGGGGCGGGCCGGCGGGGCCCCGCCCCCGCACTTCCGCCTTCCCGTCAAAGTCCGACCCGGACTGTGTAGAGCGCTGTGGGTCCGGCTCGGCGGGTCAAGGGCGCATGCGCTCGGGGCGTCGGGGCTCGAACCCCCGACGACGCGGAGGTGAACTTGAGGCTCCCAGGAAGCCCTGTGTGGCCCATCGGGTGCCGTTTGGGTGGGCCCCGAGAATGATCAGAAGTCATCCTAATTGTCCAAGGAATAGATACAAGTTAGGGCATTTGCTGGACAAAATGACTAGAAGGTTCTCGAAAATGCCTTGTCATGATGAGATGGCAGGAACCACAAGTTTGCTTTGCGAAAATTCAAGTTAACATAGAGGCGGGCGTCATGATGTAACGCTAATCCTGTGCTTTGGGTGCTGGCGTCGCATACCCCAGCTTACCCCACTTCCTGTCCAGCTCCCTGCCAAAGCCACCAGGAAAGCAGCAGCAGGCCCAGGAGCAAGGGGACCTGGCCACTCACGGGGGACATCCGGAAGAAGCTCCTGGCTTCAGATCGGCTCTGCTCCAGGGCTTGAGGTCATTTGGAGAATAAACCAGCAAACAGATCTTTTTCTGATTTTCCTCCTCTCTGTAAATCTGCCTTTCCAATAAAAGTAAATAACTTTTTAAAAAAGAACTGTCATAAAATCTGTGTATAAATACACAAATCTATAAGTAAATACATAAAATTTGCCTCCATTGCTTCAGACTTACTATGCTAATCGTGCCCAATATTGTTTATGATTTAGGACTCTTGTATCAGAAAAGGTTTCTTTAAACTTATTATTTTTTTTATAAAGACATTTATTCTTATTGGAAAGTCAGAGTTACAGAGGGAGAGACAGAAGGAAAGATCTTCTGTCCGCTGGTTCACTCCCCAAGTGGCCACAATGGCTGGAGCTTCGTCTATCCAAAGCCAGGAGCTTCTTCTGGGTCTCCCACACAGGTGCAGGGTCCCAAGGCTTTGGGCTGTCCTTCACTGCTTTCCGAAGCCACATGCAGGGAGTTGGATGGGAAGTGGAGCAGAAGCCCCCACCCTCCCTCCTGTGACCCTGAGGGAGCCATAGGTGTTCTGACACTCCTTGCTGCCAGATCACCTCAGCACCTGGGAGCAGAAAAGGTCCCCTGATTTCATCCCAAGGACTCTGATGGGAAGAATGTCCTGGGGGTGTTACTGGTGTGATCTAGAACATTCTGAGATGGTATTGGCTTCGCTGCACCTGGTATGAGACACCGTTTCCCATACTTGCCAGCTGTCCATCTTTCCGTATACCCATAGCCTTAGATACTGGGTGCAGATTGTCCTGTGGCATTGTTCAGCCTGCTCTTCTTTCCATCTTTTGGTGAGGCACTCAAGGTCCTCTTTGAATCAGAGAGACCAGCATCCTGTCTTTCATGTGCATCCCAGTATGTTGTCTCTCCTTATACAGAGTCAGCAGGTGGGTGGCCCAGTCCTAAAACGTGTGCTCAAATGTCCATGAAGTGTTCCCTGAGGTGGGGAATTGAGTGGGGTGGACCCATCAAGCCAATTTCTAAGAGACCATGCATAGTGGATCCCCAGATCCAGCTCTCATGTACACTGGAGAATGCTGTGGCCTGGCCAGGGTGACCCCAAGAACTCCAGGCCAGGCCCACAACCCAAACATGGCCTCCACCTGCGTCAGCAGGTGCTGTGGCCTGACCCAACCGCTAGTTGTACTGGGGGGTGCTAAGGATCCCTTCCAGGCCTGCTCACCAGACCTGACGTGTGTACCATCAGGTGCTGAAGCCTGGTCAGAACAACCCCCATGGCCCAGTGAGAACTGTGCCCACATCCGGCCTGTTCACTGTACAGTGCTGAGGAACTTGGTGAACAGAGTTGATAATCACACACAGAGAGACTAACAGACTACTGATGGTCAATAGCCAAAGTGTCTCACCTGCAGAAGACTGAGGGTCCTGTAGACATAAGGAAGTAGGGTCTGAAACAGGATGTGGTTTGCATGCAAGGAGGGTCAATCAGTGGACAACGTGTTCTTCTAATAGGCCACTAATAAACAGTGGATGCCAGAAGAAGCACCTATGATCTGTGAGCACAGCTGGAGGATTAGGGAGTTCCTGTGCCCGTGCTTTTCCATTCCAGCTGCTTCAGGACCTTTGCCCTGAGTTCTTGGAGTTTTCCACAGGATTACAGCTGGTTAGGGTTTTACACCTGCAAGGCTCACCACTGGCCTCTTACAGGGCCCTGGCCCCAGTTCTTGTGTGCACCAGCAGGAGCTGCAGCCGGGCCTGGTGTGCCCGCACACCTGGCACTTACTTGTAGCAGTGGGTGTTGCAGCCTAGTCAGGAACCAGGATCCAGGAGCTTCTTCCACATCTCCCATGCAGATGCAGGGGCCCCAGTACTTAGGCCATCCTCCACTGCTCTTTCAGGCCGTAAACAAGGATCCGGATGGGAAGTGGAGCAGCTGGGACACCACCCACACCCATACGAAATGCTAGCACTACAAGACAGAGGATTAACCTTTTGAGCCACCATGCCAACTCCAATTTTTTTTTTTTTTTTTTTTTTTGCATGGCGACAAGAATCTGGATGCATCCATCAGGTAGCAGAAATCAGGGAGCAATTAGACTAACAGAAGCCAAGTGCCAGGATCTCTAAACAAACCGTCCTACCAGCCCGAGCCAAGAGCGGGTAGAATGAGGCCCTGGGAACAGCCAGACCTGGTTCCCACATCTATGGAAGAGGAAGGAGCAAGTGTGACTGATGGATGTGAGGACACTCAGGAATGTCCACTGAAGAATAATGGCTGTCATGGCACCCTTCCACAGCACATGAAAACAAGCATGCTGTAGCTGAGTGAAGGGGCTTAAACAGTCTGGCCCACTGGGCTTTTCAACAGCACATCAAGTGCCTCAGTGCCTCTGCAGTGAACAACTCCTGGGTTCAGCCTTAATGTCGCGCCCACGTGTCCTATCGTCCAGCAATAAGAGGCAGACGCGAGTGAAGCCTTCTGCGGTAATCTTTATTATGCACACCAAGATGAGGAAGAGGAAAGGGGCTCCGACCCCGGCAGGCTGTCTGCTCTTATGTGCTGACTGGCCCCGCCTCCGCCGATGATAGGTCGGCGTCATGATCACGCAGGGTCCTGGGCAACCGGATTCGTCAGTCCCCAGTGTTCACGTGCCGGCCCCGCCGCAGCTCACTGCGCATGCGCTAGGCACCTGCGCAGTACCGCGAAAGCTACGTGACTCTCCACCAGGCACCAAGGTGTGGCTTCTCCGGCCGGCGCCATTTTGGGTACGGCATGTGGCCAGTGCATTCGGATGCGGCTGGCAACACCTTAAGACCCTGCACCTGCATGAGAGACTCAGGTGAAGCTACTGCCTGCAACACCAGCATGCCATCTGGAGGAAACGTGATTCAAATCCCAGCTGTTCTTTTTTCTTTTTTAAGACTTATTTTTATTGGAAAGGCATATTTACAGAGAGGAGAGACAGAAAGATCTTCCACCCATTTGGTTCACTCCCCTATTGGCCGCAATGGCCAGAATTAAGCCAATCTGAAACCAAGAGCCAGACGCTTCACCTGAGTCTCTCATGTAGGTGCAGGGTTCCAAGGCTTTGGACTATCCTTTTCTGCCTTTCCATGTCATAAACAGGAAGCTGGATGGGAAGTGGAGCAGCCAGCACATGAGCCGGTGTCCATAAGGGATCTAGTTGCTTGGAGATGGAGGATAACCTGGCTGAGCCATCGCACTGCCCTCCTGCCCCTAAACTGTTCTGCTTCTAACCCAGCTCCTTACTACTGTGACTGGGATGGTCACAGAGGAGGATGGTCTAAGCACTTGGGCCCCTGCTACTTATGTGGGAGACCAAGATGGAGCTTTGGGCACCTAGCTTTGCTAGGTCTGTCTCAGCCTGAATTATTGCAGCAAAATGGGAGGAACCAACAGGTAGAGCATCTCTCTCTCTATTTTTCCATCTCTCTCCATTTCCAGTTACTCAATCAATACTCAAGAAACAAAACAAAACTCAAGGGAACTTACTGGGAAGGGAACCAAATTAAGTAACCAGAATTTGATGGAGACCAGGGATAAAGGAGTTCATTATCTTAAGGTCAGGCAAGATACAAGGAGTTTAATTTCATGTGAAAATGAGTCACTGAAAAGGTTAAGGATCAATATTATTCACAACAATCCAAAAAAGAGTGATTGGTGATAAAGATGAAATGGAGGGAATCAGCACTGTGGCATAGTAAGTTAAGTTGCAGCCTACAATTCTAACTGCTCATGTGGGCACTGGCTACTCCTTACTGATGTGCCTGGGAAAGCAGCAGAAAATGGGCCAAGTGCTTAGGCCTCTGCACCCGTGTGGGAGACCCTGAAGAACCACCTGGATCCTAGCTTAGGTCTCCCAGCCTCTCCCATACTCTCCTGTAACTCTGCCTTTCAAATCAATCTTTGGCGGGGTCAGGGAGGGGGAGGACTAAATAGGGCACACTAAAAAGATTAAGCAATAGAACTCAAGAAAATGTTGGGGAAAAAAAATCATGCCAGCAACAAAAACTAAACTAGAAGGAACCCTGGAGCCAATAAATATGACTGATACAAATTTAAGAAATATGGAAAGTGAAAAGGAGAGCAAAAAAAAACACATATGAGAAAATGACAAATATAGAAAAAAAAAAGATATACAACATACATATAATAGGAGTCCTTGGAAAAAAAGGATTCCAGAGCAAGAAAATAGGGTAGATTCCTGTACTGATGTAGCCAAGGGCAGCACCACCACCATGCCTGCAGTCACGCAGCTGGGGGCAGTTGGCTCGTGGGGGACCTGGGGGTGCAGGCTTGCAGGGGAGTGGGGAATAGCACTGGCAGGGGTGTGTGGGGACCTGGGGGATCACATCCAGGCAGGTGGAGTGAGCCTGGGGATTTCCACACGTGCTTAGT